TTTCCACATTTATGGATACATTGCTTCATGAACAGTTACCCTAATAAAAAGAAAAAAATACCAAGGAATCCTTTTGCTCATTTTCAATAGTGTGATTAATTTTTTTTTTTTACTCTGAGAAAGTAGCAAACATTTGTGTCCTGAAAGCAACAGTGGACTGTTAAATATTTTTTTTGCAGTTTTACACATTGATGCCAGCTTCTAAGTCTATAATTTGGCATCTCTAGAAAGACCGGATACAGAACATAATATACTAGTGAAAAAAGTGCAACATCATGACTTTGTTCCATAACCGGGTATAAGGACAAGTTGAGATGTTATGCTGTAAAGTGCAGTTGAATTGTTTTTTCAGACGGCAGAAAAGCACCATTTCCGTTCTTCAATCAAATTGATTTTATTGATCTGCACACACAAAGTAATGCAATTAAGTCTCGGGAATTAAATTTTCAGGCCATTGACCCTACAAGTGTAAAGTTTTATTGAGTCAAATTGCTAAATTAAATCTCGTCATCTAAAGCACGTTAAAGTGAATTAAGAAGGATCGAGAGTATGCAACTCATTTATTTCTCAAACATTGGAGGGTCCCACACAGCTGTCAGTATTCAGTGGTGAGGTCAGCTGACTCAGATTTTGTTATAGAGAAGCCAACACTTACTACTCTCTGATTAGGCAGAACAGAAAGCAATGGTCCGAAATCTCAAGAGCAGTAGTGGGTAATTCAGAGGAATTACACATCCTTGCAAGGGTCTCAATTACCTAAATGGCATGATCCTTATGGCTTTATTGTATCATTGTCTGCATTTTCGGGAACAAGTTCTTGCAAATGGTAGGTAAACATTCGAGTAGCCCAAATGTTCAGATAAATTAGATTTGGGATTTAATTCTTTGTTCTGCATGTACTGTGTAGTTCTTCTCGATTTAATCGTAAAATTGGTCTCTTTTCTTTACACCAGCTGACTGTCTAGACCCTGGATGTTCTAATCACGGTGTGTGTATCCACGGGGAATGTCACTGCAATCCAGGATGGGGCGGGAACAATTGTGAAATTCTCAAGACCATGTGTCCAGACCAGTGTTCTGGTCATGGAACGTATCTTCAAGAAAGTGGCTCCTGTACTTGTGACCCGAATTGGACAGGCCCAGACTGCTCAAATGGTGAGCTTAATACATACAGTTCCATCGAGGGCTTAACATTGTTTAGCTGAAGGTCAAGGTATTTTAATTTTTAAAACACACTTACTACATTTAATATAAATTTTATTAAAGTGATTATTTATAGAAATAAATATTAAAAATAAGGAAACTTGTTATGGTATGGAAAGAAACAGGACTTAGTCAATTTGTTATTAAAATTTCTCTTTTAGGATTATTGTAAAGAATACGCTTTCGTTTGTATAAAGCTGTCTGTCTTTAACTCTGAAGGCCTGTGTGCAGCTTGCAGATTTAAGCACATTATCTCATAAACAGAGAAGCCTCAATTAAAAAATTACTTGACAACATAAGTCTTCACATGAGCACAATAAAGAGTATACATATGCAGATATTATGATGTACATCGTGGTTTGACACTGAGTTTTTAATTATAATCACATGATTATAGTAGAAGTGGCAGATAGTCATTTTATTCATTCAGTCAGCTCTGTGCATGGCATTGTGACAGGCCCTGCAGGGATCAAAGAATAATGCATCCTTCCTGCCCTCTAGAGTAGGGGCTTTCAAGTTTTGGAGCATTAAATACACTGTTACATTGTGACCTCATATACATATGTGTGCATATGCTCACATCACTGAAACAAGAGCTTTACAAAGTGGTGCAAACTGATACTTTCTTCTCAAATCTACTCCGCTTTTTTAATGCTGGTTGCAACCCATGCATTAATTCCATGACCCACTCATTAGCCACACAGCTGGGAAGGATGCTGTTGCAGTCTAGAAGATTACAGTTTAATTGGGGAGATAAGATGAACACACGTGAAATACTTAGAAACCAGTCCTTTCCAGTTTAGTACTCTGTTGAGTGTTACATGGAATAATATGTTAAATACCAGCAGTGTTTAGATCCTGCCTTGATGCATCTTGAAAGTTTTCAAGGAGCCTTTTAACATTTCTTGCCTTCTCTTAAAGATTCCAGTTAGTGTGGAGGTTGGGGGGATATTTTTTCCTGGGGGAACAGTATTAGAAAGTACTTAAGAGCGTGGACTCTGAAATCAGATATTTGGGTTCATATCTAATCTCTACTACTTAATAGCTATGTAACCTTAGGGAAATGACTGGCCTTCTTTTTACTCATCTGTAAAATGGGCTCAGTCATGACATTCTTCCCACAGGTGCTGTGGGAATTGCTTGAATTAATGCATGTGAGGTACTTACTACAATGCTTAGCCCATAATAAATTCTAAATACAGCTACCACCACCACCACCACCACTGTTACTGCTGCTACTACTGTTAGCAGAGACACAACTGTGAGACTGTCCCTGTGTACAGGGGACAGCGAAGACAAGGTATTTGGAGGTAAAAATTGGCCGGGGCCAAATTATGGGAGACGCATCAGTCAAATAAGCATAATGATACTAACTGTAAAATGATACTTGTTTGAAATACTGTCATTCTAACTTGTCTCCCACAGTTATCCAGGCAGGGAAGGAATAACGAAGTAGCCCCTTCTGCTTCGTAGAAAGTTATTTAATACATTACCTGAATCGTTTTATAAAGAATAGTTTGATATTAAATAGCTCAAAAGGTAAAATTTGGTCTTCTTCATAAAATGGTATTGCTATGAATAGCCCCAAAAAAGGGATGTAGATGTTAACTAAAAGATAAAATTGGCTGCCAGAATTCCATATCACTATTTTACATATTTAGACTGATTTTTTGTTTCATACTGATGTGATTATTTTGCCAGCTGAAAATCTAATTTCATGTGTGCACAAAATGACTCTGTAGGCGTAATGAGGGAGGGGTTCATCTTATTCATTTTTAAGTCCCTACTGCAAAACAGAAATTTAACGGGTATTAAACAGAGTTGAATAATGAATACAGTATTCTTCTTTGGGAGAAAGTAATGAAGCACAGAAAGAAAAAAAAACTTTGTTAAACTCTGCTTTTAGCTGCAAAAAAAACAGAAAAACTACTTTGGATTATTACTTAAGATCTCCAATACGTATATAGCCATCCTGTGAAAACGTCTGGGTTCATGTGCCTCAGATTTGTCTGCATGTAGTGCAGTTCTCATTTAAAATATATTTAAAAAAAAAAACTGTTGCTAATTTAATTTGTGACCCAAAAGTTTACTTGCATTAGAATTTGGAGTTTCTGACCCACTGAATACTAAAGCATAACGCTTCACCAGCTACCTCTTCTGTGGTTGTGGAAATGACCTTCAGATGTCTAAATTCAATAAGAGAGTAGGTTTTGCACATGAAGAAACATTTGGTTAAGCAGCTGAAAGAGAAGAAATGAGTTATTTCCATCAGAAAGTTTATAGGCTGGAAAGCAACAGAGCTTCCCTCCCTCTTCATCAGCAGTGTGGCCATTAATTAGCCCTTCAATTCCACTTCAATTAAATTAAGTCTAATTAATAAGTTCATTACAAAGATTGACGCACCTTGCTCAAAGCTAGCGTGCTAAATGCTGATAAACACCTTCACCCTAATGAAAAATTGATTAGATTTAGTTTAAAAAAAAAAACGGGTACCTCAGAAAGAAACCTCTCTCTTTCTGGAGCTGAGGTGACGTTCTGTTCCTCTGAAGTTAATCAAACCATCTTGGATCTTTTAATCAAAAATTTAATTCAGACGAGAGAGGCAGTGTGGCATGAGAAAAACACGTACCCCTCTCTTCCAGTTAACTGTCCTGGCTGTTGTGTAGAAGAAATGTTACAACTCTCATGGTGCCTTGATCTGGTGTTTTAAAATTCTGCAGCACTGTGAGTTAC